CTTGACAAGGGAGTCGGGGGCAGGTACAACATCGATGTGCGGCAGCTTGGCAGCTGAGAGGTACTAGCAGTTTGAAGATGCTAACCTGCCAGGATCTGTAGCAACAACAACAACATTTGTCCCCGCAGCAAGACTAGTGACTAGTGACTAGTCAAATTCATTCCATCGTGCCTACTGGCCTACTGCTTGTCTTCAGGCCTTACACTAGCTTGAAGATCTTGAAGACATTTTTGCTGTGAAAAGAGTGTTTGAGGCAATGGAATCAGATCTTGCAGAAAGATCCTTCCGTTAAAGCATATGTGATCCTGATTTCCAACAACGTGGATGAGGCTGGAGACTGTCAGATCAAGTCTTAGCTCCCAAATCATCATACCTTACTGCCATTTTAGTGCTTTTGGAGGGCGGAAGGAACTTAGGGATGTAATGGACGGCTAGCCCAAAAGGTCTGGTGGATCTGCAAGGCCCCGATTGAGTGTTGAGATGTTGAGAGGCAGAACGTATCAAGAGCACGTTGGCACCTGGAAGAGCTCATATTTGTGCAGAGACTGCGAGTCTGGCAATTACTTTCAAGCAGATCTTCAGGGACAGCATGTGCCTTCGCAAGCGTCTTCATTGATTGCTCTGATTTATGAATCTGTGATAGTCCGGATTTTTGTCGCTTTAGTTAATGGACTGTCAATATGTGTTTTGCGCAGGAACCCATGCTACAATGCTTGGTATATAAGCAACAAAGCAATTTAGAACTGCTGTATCAATAGACAAGCCTTCTTTTTTCATCAATCGACGGTTCACAACCCTTCATCAGGTTGAAGGAGCCTTGAACCGTCATCCACCAGTCCAGCAAGCTGCAGCAAGCTGCCGCAAGCTGCTGGCTGCCAAGTAGGTGCTTTTCACGCGCCAGGCTCGGGGACTCACGCGCCGGGCCCGGATGTCAAAGCAGAGCGAGGAGCTCCTCCACAGTGTGATAGCATGGTTTGTGGACATGGGCGTTGATAGCATCGCCCTGCAACAACTTGAGTTGAGTGCTGGACTGGTGAGCAAGAACGGAGAGGGATCAGTCAGGCTGTAAATGACGGGGAGATCACAGTGAATGTTGAGGCTGACAATGTGTCTGGGATGAAGTGGCCCGCAGCCAGATCCACGATATAGATAGACTCATTGGCCACATAGCCATGGAGCGTTTGAAACACGTGGTTGCGGCATTTACTGCGCAGCTTGGCACAAGAAGAGAATGCGTCTAACTGGTCTGAATGCAGCGAAGCTGCGCAACTGGCCTACATGGTCCATGAAGCATAGCACTTGAGCAACCGAGTTGAGCTGTTTGCCACTAGCGGCTTTGGCCTGACGGTGAACTCCGACCTCAAGCCAAAATGGAACTTTGAGATGCTGAGATGTGCAAGCTGCCACATGGACTCCAACTAGGTGAAGCACTTCCATAGTGAGATATAGTAAGAGATAGTGAGCATGCAAGCCCTTGTTTTATTCGGCTGAAAGAAGGCGCGTGTTCACTTCCCCCGTCACAGGCGCTTGCTAGCTGCTAGACCATCATGTTCTTTTCAATGAAGAATCACCCACTCAAGTTGCTCACACTCCCGACCATTGCCTTTTGCTCAAGTTGCTCAAAGACCGACAGCTGGGAGTCCATTTTTCACGCTATCCCAGACACCATGTCCTTGGCATCTTGGTCCTGATCTCAGTTTGATCTGGCGTGCTGCGCCTGCCTCAGCTGCCTTTGGTCATGTAGGAAAACGTCCAAGGCAAGACAACATCATCCTGCTGTCTGACAGCTACAAGGTTGATTGTCTTCAGCATGGACTATGGATGAGTATGGGCTGTGATCACGTTTGGTGGGTTCTCACGTTAGGGAACGGTCATATCAAAGGATGTTTGTTTTGAGTGAATCCCAACAATGGATGTGGGATGACCATCTCCTACTTCTTCAAGATGCCATCTGACCAAATGTGTGCCAGGTGAGCCACTATCGGCAATATCCTCCAGGTACACAGTATGCCGGGTACTTGGGTACAAGTCTGCCGTAGTCCAGGATTCATCTGGCTTTGATTGACCGAGGTGTACAGCTACTTCGAGAGTCGTGGATGTGACCGAGAGGGATGGGATTCAGTTTGCTTCTTTGGTCAGAAGACCCAGTTGGTCTATGTTGGTCTCCCGTGATTTGGAACGGGTCGCAGATAGTCGACAGTCTTCCACCTCGACTGAGGCTTGCAATATTTTCTCAAGCGCTACTTGACTGGCCAAGTTGTCCCTGGGCTGCGTGGCATAGGACCATCCTTGGGCCTTTTGATGCTCCCTTCCTTGAGGTGACACGAGAGAAGATTGAACAAGCTGCCAAGATCTACTCACAACATTTTGGCGATGGCACCAATGACAATCCGGTGGCCTGGCCTGAGTGATTCCAGTGGTCCTAGTGTAGGAGCAGATGCATCCTTGTCGTTGTTGTCAGTTTTCAGACCTAACTGGTTAGTGGTTTCATTTTTTTTTGACTTCCGTTGTTTTTTTTGGATAGGGACGGATAGGGGCGGCGAAAAACCATGGTTCAATCATGTTCAAGCCGTTGCTGTTTGGTCCATCTGGCCAAATTGAGGACCTTTTCTACCGTGAAGGTTGGGAGTACATCCTGGAGAAGCACGGAGGACGTCTTCCTGTGAAGATCAAGGCGATGCATGGTGGACGATGGTGGACCCCTAAATGCTTGCGTGGGATGTGGCAAGTGCGGTCAGGATTCTGGTGTAATTTATCTTTCTTTGAGCATCATTTCTTGGAGGGGATTGGGATTTGATGTGCGAGGTGTTTGCATGTTGGGATTCTGGGACTCTGCGCCGCTGTGCGTCAGGCACTCCCGGAAGGAACTGCAGTGGCCTCAGAATCTGTGAGAAGCACCGCAGGATGTTTTGCGAATCGACACAGAACCAGGTCGTGCCGGTGAAGACTGTCCTCATCACTGTGGTGAACACAGACCCAGAGTGCTATTGGTTGACGAACTTTCTGGAGACGCTCCTTGTGCAGGCACAACGGATGCGGACACGTTTGCGGCCGCGTTTCGTGCAGATGTGGAAGAGATCGGTACATAGATGCAAGTCGTAACCACACTTAAGAAGATCTCAGGACAGAAACTTCTTTCAAGGAAAATCAAGGATCTTGTTCACTCAACAGGATCAGACATGCCTGGTTTGGATCATTTTCCACAATCATTTTCCACAGTTCGACATTGCCACTCAGATTTGCTGGATGCAGCCGCGCCTTTTTGAGGTTTGGTTCCCAATGACCGTCTGCACAAACAGCAGATACCAAAAGCTTTCCATCCAGAAGTACTTGGAGGACTGTTGATGATTCAGTTCTTCGTTTTCCCTTCATATTCTGCGCATCCGAGCTCTTTTGCTCACCTTGATTCCCGTCATCGTTCCTTTCGCATGTCTGACTTCTACAGGAATAAGAGGTTCACCTTAGGACAAAAGGTCGCTAGTTAGGTTGGAGGCCATCGCTATTAAAAGTTGGAGGCCATTGCTATTGGGTTTGCAAAGCTTCACCTTAGGCCTTAGGCAGAACGGGAGCGCCCCGGTGCTTGGAGGAGACAGGATGCGAGGACTGGAAGCCTCCTGGAGGTGTGTCTCTCCGAAGACGCAAGTTGTTTCATTTTGTTTCCATTTCTGGTTCCCCCCAAAATGATCTACATAAATAGGGAAGAATCGGAGTTTCATTTTCACTGATGCTTCTCCAAGTATCTCAACACACAAACTGAGTTCCCCAAATATTAGTCGGCGATGGTCAGGAGCAGCCTACAAGTTGCACGATTTTGGCTTTCGTGGAGTGTCATCGGTGGAATCTGCCGCCACTGGCGGATTAGGTCGGGGTCCCATGGGGTCATCTCCCAGATGGAGCTTGCAATCGTTCTCACTGATGCAAACTATACATACTGCAAGTATCTGCAAGTATCATTGTTCTTGTTCACACGCATGCTTGGCCAACCTCAATTTTTCGATGGCAACCAGGCCACCTGGTGAACTTCATGGGCTCCGACACCGTCATTGCGCTGCTGGCAGCGGAGAAGTTCTATGGCGCCAAGCGCGCGGTGGGCACCTCCATCCCGGCCTCCGAGCATTCAACCATCACCTCGTGGGGTGGGGAAGCCCAAGGAGGTGGAGCAGTTGATACTATAACTCTTGATGATATATCAATTCTCAAGATGATTCACCGGGGGTTCAGTTGATGAATGAACTGAGTATTTGGGATCAGTGGGATCAGACACATGTGTTGTGCTGGTGTGTTGCCACTGGGTTCATTTGGATTCATCATTTGATATCATTTGATAAGGAGTGGATGGTGAGCTGGATGCAATGCGAAACATGCTGGACCAGTACCCCACTGGTTGGAGTCCAAGGGATGTGATGGGATTTGTCGTTTGAGCTCCGTTGAATTGACTCTGAGTTCAGGCCTTGTGGCCTGCGTGAGCGATTCCTTTGACGTCTTCAAGGCATGCAGGGAGTACTGGGGAGATGCATTGAAGGACAAGATCAAGGGCCGCATCAGTTTGAGACTGAGAAGCAGAGCCTGGTTTCCTTTGTGGAATAGAAGGTTGTCAAGAGTCAAGGGACTAGGGTCACAAACAAGTGACGAGAATCACATGGAGAAATTCCCGATGTTCCTGACTTGTTCGCGATGAATTCTGCGCACTGCTTGCATGTCACACCCACTCCACATTCTGAGGTGATACCAGCTTTGGACAGCTGGTGGTGCGACCAGACAGTGGAGATCCGGAGGAAACATGCGTCACAATCTCAGGCATATTAAAGTAGATAATATAATAATATATATATAATATATATATATAAAATCTTTAATCTACGACTTGTGTGGCGGGCCCATATGGCCAGGCACACCCTGCACCGGTATCAGGTTGCCATTATGAAGATCCTCCTGGAACAATTTGCTGAGGAAGTGACTGAAACAAAGTCTGGAGCCGAGCTGTGTATGCTGGAACAGACCAACGTGCTGGGGTGACCTGCCACCTTGTTGATCAAGATAGCAATGGAAACTGGACAATGATGGAGAAATCTCAGATCATTATCCAAAGAAACATTGTGTCACTTCCAGTGGGTTGGAATCCATTGGTGGGAATTTGCAGGACTCCTTGATGAACCCAACTTCCAATGGAATTCCAAAAGATCTAGGAACCAAATCATTGGCGCGAGCGCTTCCGTGAAGAAGCGTGAGCTATCCTGCGTCCAGTAGGTAGCAGCTTCCTAGTTTGCTAGTAGCTTACAGGTTTTTCCCTTGTATAATACTGCCTACTTATATAATTAAATGAGGAGGCAGGGGGCTCAGGGGCCCCCACCCCACAGGCCAAAAATATGTTTGAACGTCTCCCAAGGACTGGACACAAACTGCTTCCGCCCTACATCCGGGTGATCCAGGGCGATGGCGTTGGGCACTCATTCCACTGGCGTTGGGCGTCTGAAAGCGATTTTTTTGAAGCGCAATTGGATGGAAATGGAAAGGAGCAACTCTGTGAAGAGACTCGGATGTGAGATTTCAATGAACGTGCAATGCTGCAAGGTTGACTATCAGTCTATCCCCAAGATCTTGCAAAGGTTCAAGGACATAGCAGCTTGAAAGTTTGTGGGTCATTGCAACTCCACCAAATGTGACAACAGGATGAAGGCATTGCAGCGGCTAACATTACCTTTGGCAGTGGCCTGGAACCTGGAAATTGTGAGAGCTAGTTATAACATATTGGTCCTCAATTGTCAATGTGGACCTGCCGGAGTGTTCTCTTGGTGCCCGGATTCAGGCGGAGCTCTTTTGCAGAAAGTGAATCGTGACACTTTCAAGGCTCTAACTCTAACTGTGCACCAGCAGTTGACCAACTCCAAAGCACAGCACGAAATTGCCCATGGCTCGCTTTTGCCGGCATCGGCCATGCATGGATGACAGATTGCCTTCAAGTGTGCCGAAGTCACCTTGGAGAGTGGAGAGGCGTGACGTTTTGCGCTGAGCCATGTAGAGGCATGATTGCAGGCTTGCCTGATATGGTTGGTCCATTTTGGCACCAAAAAACATGCAAATATTGACACGCATATTGGCCTCCATTCAATTCATTGACCTTACGTACCTTTGCCGAGTCTTGATTAGCCCTCAGTCTCCTGAAGGCTCGAGAAGTCTTCAAGGATCCGCTGACCGACGATGGTAAGGTTGGGTCTGTTGTTGAGTCGAAAAGATGCTTGCAAGGCCCACCATAGTGCTTGGGTGATGAACACGGAGCACATTTTTGGGGTGAGATGGAGGGATGCTGCTTCCACACCCAGCGGCCGCGCACATTTCCAAAGGCCCATCTATTTTCCAGATTGATGAGTTTTGGATGCCAAGGCTTCCAAGAAAGGTCGCCTCACTCTGCAGAAGGCGTCAGCGGCTCAGCTTTGCAGCTGAAAGACTCAGTCTTTTTTAACGCACTTTTTCAACTGTTTTGTTTGGGAAGAAGCACATCAGCAGACGTCAGTCATCCTATGGTGATGCTTTCCCTGCTATTCTTTGCTGTTGCTTTTTTAGATGTTGAAAGTGGGCCGAGACTAGGTGCTTAGTGATTGACAGCAGTGGTAGAGTTCCCATGAGTTCCCTATCCATCCCTGTCAAGGAGTTGTTGGTTAAGAATGCGTAAGCCTTTGCATGTACAAGCTTTGTGATCCAGGCACCGGCATCGGTGGATCGAGGTCTGACATTACAACCTACTCCGAAGAGGACGTGTACAAGCCACGTCAGGGAGTGGATGGAGTGAAGGGTTTGGAGCCTCAAATTTGATTTTGGCCTCCTAAGAGCGATGGCCTCCAACCCAAGAGCGCCTGCATAATGCAGCTGAGCCGTGTTGCAGCTCATAGATTTCATGTTCGCTTAGGTGGTACCGGTTTCTTGCACTTTACTCCGGATGGAAACTACGTCACCGTGGCAAGTGGAAAGCACCTCGTCGTCAAAGTGGGACAAAGCTAAATGTATAATGAGTAATGTCAACGTCGGACGATTCATAAGAAAGAAGAAATAACGAAGAGTTGCCGAAGAAATATTAACTTTCTGAATGAAACATAAGACATAAAAACAAATAACATCAAATAACATCACAATTTTTTGAATCAAGATTTGCTGCCCAACTGACCGGCAGGACATGATTCGAGAATCATACCCCGGAGCCAGCAATGGCACCGTACTGTAGCTAAACCCTCAAGGCACTGAACCCTTTTGAAGACCTAGATATTTCTTACAGTTCTTACATAAGTCAGCTCCTTCTGAAGATCGTGCAAAACCTTGCAATGAAATCTGGGCACTCCAACCTTTCTACCCAACCTCTACAATCCTTCCACATACAACTAAGCACATGACACAAACATACTGGAACCATCTGGAATTGGAAGCCTGATGCCAGGGGTGACCCTGAGAAAGATTTGTTGGCAGCACTGCCTTGTTTGGTCGTTGACCGTTGGAGACCGATCACCCAAGACTCACGTCATGGCCAGGTGGATGTCTACGAGAATGGTATGATGCTCAAGGTGTGCTCACTGAGCCCGATGTTGGGTGATAAAAAAGAAGACAGTCAGGATATTGCAAGCAATTTCAAGCCGATCTTGTTTCATGTTCTTGCTGTAAAGCGGGCTTGGTTCAAGACTGTGAGTCAGTGTGAGTTCAGTTGAGTAGTTTCACCTTGGCAAACTTTGATAAGCCTTTGACTCATCCTGATTTGTGTTATCCATGCTGCAAGGATTACAAGTTGTCCGAGATCAGAAGGCGTGCGGATGTCGAGAACGGTCGTGACCTTAAATGTGCTGTGGCGAGTCTCAAAGTGTTACAGCACACTTAGGCACTAGGCGCTAACCCTTCACGACCAAACAAAGTTCAGAAAGGACAACAGAGCATGAAATTTATCAGGACATGGATTGCATCCTCAGAGTCTTTGCGGGTTTGAAGTTCTGAAAAAAGTTCACAGAAAAGCAAAGTCTTTGCGGCTGACTGGTCAGATTTGTAGAGGGTCCAAGGGTCGATGTTGCGGCGAGGTCCTTTTGTCAACTCTCCGGAGGACTTGGATGCTTTGCTGCTTCCCACGTCTGGTGTTTTTGAGGGTTAAACATGTCTCGACCTTGTCCTGACCCTATGGGCCCTATGTTCTTTCAGAACATGCAAGCCCATCCTTTGCATTTCCAACAGGTGCAGAACCCAGCACTGAAGAATGGGAGTTATTCAAAGATTCGGTACTCGTACAACATGGCAACAACCTACAGTCAGTCCTTTGAGGAAGCAACACGTATTTATATACATACTATATACATATATACTATAGACTATATACTATATGGACCATACCATACGATACCATACATAATTATGATCGATCAATTATGTATTTATGATGTCAAATTAGTGCCATATTCGTTCATCTACAAGTTCAGCTTGTTCTTCTTTGTGGTGGGCCTATGTTCAGACACCGGACAGCTGACATTAGTTGATCAAAATGAGCTTGCAGGAGCCTGAGGAGCCGTACTCAGTGAGTGGTCGGGATTGAATACGATGGACCATGGGTCATATTATTTTTGCCAAGGCCATCCAAGACCCCAGGAATTGGTGTGCAGTTGTTTTTTGGTGGCTTACCTTTCCCATTCGATGTGCTGCCATTGGGCTGCCAGTTGCAAATTGTATTTTGACGGTGCTTAGGTGATTTCTAGCTAATGCAATGCTAGCTGCTATGCATGGAAAGGCCGCATTAAACATGTGGTGTGTGATCTCAGGAACCAGAGCCTGCTCCGGTTCCGAACCCAGCGCTTCGCTCCACCAAGATCGACTGTAGTTATGAAGCCATAGGCCGATAGGCCACTGCAACCGAGAAAGTACTGGATATTATGGATTTTTATTGACGAGTTTCGCATGTCAATTTGCAGGGAATCGATGGGAATGTCAACAAATTCAGAAAAGAATCATTTGTAGCTACTGCTCGATTCATCTCCAGGTGCCGGCCGCTGCCAGGCTGGGTGGTCAAAGCCAAGAGCTGGCGCAAAAAGGGTGTTCTTTCCTTCCTTAACTTTTGCTAGACTTTCTGTCAACCATCATGTAGTACTGGTACTATTCTCTCATGTTTTCTCAATCCCTCTTTCTGGTTGAAGGCCAATCATTCCGGCATGGCAGTTGAGACGTGTTTTTGTGTGACGCTGGTGTGATTCATGTTTGCTGATCCATGGCTGGCTTTGCGGAGGCCAACCTATGTGACGGTGCCCTTCCCAAGTCAGAAGGCCGGCCCTGAGGACCTTCGGAATTAGCTTGGAAGGTGACATCAACAAGCTGGGATGTTGTCAGAGTTGTCAGGCTGCAGGCTGGTGCTAAGAATTTTCACCTCCCGCCACTGGGTGAAGATCATCCCCAGATGATCATATTGCCAAGAACACAACCCTTTTGTTGTTGACTTGACATCAAACATTGGGGGTTGAGTGCATTAAGCATCTGAAGCAGTGGGTCATTTGTGCTCTCTCCGTGGGCGCCGCCACATGAATCAGACATATGTTTGCGTGTGTGTGCATACATACATATGATAATATGTTTGTATGTGTATGCTATTTTATATATAATATACATATTGAATACAGTTATATATATATATGTGTATGCTATTTTATATATAATATACATATTGAATACAGTTATATATATATATGTTTCATTTGATGGGTGGTTCCACCATTTTCAACCACAATACAATCAATGAGTCAAGACACCCATGATTCGCTGCCCGTGTGCGCTCCAGATCATGACGGCAGCACCTCCTGGAGCTGTGCGAATGATTCCTGCCGGCCCTCCCCAGACGAGCGATTGTTCGAGTTGCCCTCTTCGATGGGGATATTGAAGATTGTTGCCACAAGTGGAGTTGCATGAGTGACCAAAGGAGACATCATGGGCACTTTTCTCTATTGTACTTGTACTGTAAATTTCAGCTCGTTTGGTCAATCTCATCCCCGAACTTTGACTTGGCTTCACCGAGCATTCGGCGTAAGAATGGACTGGTAAACTGGTAAATTATCACTAGAGGTGCTGGATCTGTGACGTCACGGGGGTGAAATATAGGTGAATAATGTGCGTTTCATTTATTGTAAAAGAAACGAAGAAGGGTGGGGCCCCCTTTAATAAATAAACTCTAAAGGAGATTTATAGAACTGGCTAACGGCTGACACTGTGTGCCGCCGACTCGATCCGACTTGTATTTTTTGTTTTATTCTGCGGGCAAAGGCGGGCCGAATGGGTGCCAGACGGCAAGGGTTGGCACGCCCACTGCCAGAGGAGTGGCTCAGCCACGCCCTTCTCAAAAGAGTGGCTGGGCGGTGAGGGTTCCACCATGCAGTGTCGGTGCAGCCCAGCTGAGGCAGCCTAAGCCGGGGTCGGCGGATTACCCTTACCATTGTTGACAGTCCTAAGCTGAGCATTTCCAGCTCCTGGCGCAACTCCAGGTGATGAACAGGCCCAGCTTTGTGGCGGCGCCGCAGCCAGCACCAATGCCACAGGCGGCTTTGTTTGTGCACCGGGCGGGCGAATTTCAATGGGGCCTAGTAACTAGGAATTAAATGAACTTATATAATAGGGCAGGGGCATCAAAGCCCAACGAGTCCAACTGCTGACCCTTCATCTCGATCCATCTCGACCTTGAGTCGACGATTCGGCAAAAATACGCGAAAGACGCATATCACACCGAAACAACATTTGGCCTCGAATTCTTCTCGGTAGATGTTCTGTTGGAATGACCTGCCGTCGCTCTGTAGGTGAACCGCCCGGCCAGCTTTGTGGCTGCTCCCATGGCATCGAGCTTGATGGCCATGTCATTAGCACAACGGACATGATTTGTATTCCGATTACACGTCTATGCATGTTGTGCTGCAGCCAAAGACATGTTGGAAGCAAAGCCACGTAGAGCTATGAATCTACTGCAAGGGTTGCTGTGTAGACTCTGTAGACACTTGTTTTGCGATTGTATTATTTCATTCAGCAAGCAAACAATCATATGTTTGATATTGTTTGATATTTTTTCATTATTTGTCCACTTGTCCCATCCCGAGGTCGGTACCCAGCCACAGGCGCAGTCCATGTCATTGTCTTAGTACTCGCTTTTTTATACTCTCTCTTCTCTCTCTCTTGCTTGCTCGATGCTGAGCTTGGCATCCTTTCCCAGGTATGTCCCCTCTCAAATTCGGCCGTTCGCGATGCCAGCACAGGCGGTGATTTGTGTTTGATCCATTTTGATTTAAATGGAGTGGGTGAGTAGGATCTTGTCGGATCATGTTTTGGGATGATGAAGATGAAGATGCGACAATGATCGTTTTTTCATTGTTGTCCTTCCCAATTGGTGGTTTGCTGCTTGCGCAGATCTCCCATCCAAGCTTCGTAGCCCCTGGGGCTCGTACAGCCCTGAGGGTTGGGATGCACGTGACGTTGAGATGGGGCGATGAGGGCCGCCCTGTTGAGATGTTTTGGAAGCCAAGGCCCAAGCATTGTAAACCCAGGACAACCTATTCAGGCACGAGTCATGTCCTTTGGTATTAGCTGCTTTCTTTCTTGACATCAGACTTTCTTCTGCAAGTCCTGCTGCTTCAGGCCCCAGTCTATTCAAGTCAAGGACTCCAGGCAAGTCGAGTTCGTGCCATGGCCACAGTGCGACCAGTCACCTGGAGCTGAGGCAACAGTGCGACCCGGCGTTGTGATGACAGCTCCAGGTGCGGCTGGAGTTTGCAGTTCACCAGTCACACCTGGTGAAATATGACGAACCAGTTGATCACCAATGAATCACCAGTCAGCCTGTTGTGAAATATGACGAACCACTTCAAACCACCGGTAACCACCAGGCTGAACCGATGCAGGTGGATTAAAGCAATGGTTGGGGCGGGTAGATACGCTACGTGATGCACAAACCAAGCATCTATATGCTTTAAGGGAGAACAGATTCCACTGCAACTGGCTATGGGTGCAACTTTTGAATAAGTTGGAAATTGAGACCTCAGAAGGATGTGCTCTCGTTGGAAGACTAGGATGATTACACACAGGTCAACAACTAAATAGTACTAACATGTACTAACTTGAATGGCTTCACTGAGGAGCCCTGCATGGCCCTGCAGCCCCTCCATTTGGCCCTCCGGGCATTCGGCTAGGTGCGTCCCAGCCAACGATCATGCCTCAGCGAAGTGCTTCACTGGGGGTCCGGGACACTCAGTCAAGGCCCGTCCGAAGATGACAGCTGGCTGCTATGCGGTTATCGTTTGTTATCAGTATCAAGCCATGCTAGTACCAAAGAATCCCTCAAGCCAAACCCTGTGAACGCACAAACAATACTCCCGAACTCTGCCGAAAGATCAAAGGTTGGATTTGGTATGGGCAACATGGTGCGAATGGTGCCGGGCCAGAGCTGATCAGCCTTCGATTTTGCAGGGCCTGGGGGCCCTGCCTCAGAACTTGAGGAGGGTTACCATTGACAGGGTGCCAATTGGCCGATGTTTAAAAAGCATATAGAACAACATCGCATTTTTTGTTAACACTCAATACGCAATTTTCTTTTTTTTGCGCTGCTGTTTTAATCTACAGGCACCCAGAGGGCGCCTGAAGATGATAGCAGCGAACGGCCCCTGTAGATACATCCAATCCCAGGGTCCAATGTTAATGATGCAGAATGCAGTTGGCATTGCCCGACGATCGATTTTGACTCAGCATAGCCGTTGGCGCATAGCCGTTGGCCAGCCATGGGCTCCGCACGGCATCAGCCGTGCCAGCAAAACGGCGGCTGAGGCATTCTAAGGCCAAGGTTGAAGAGATGAACACATGGGATGTAAAGTCTGTGCATTCTTTCAATAAGGAGCTATAAAGTACCATGGTTCGACACTATCGAATGCTCTGCGGTTCAAATCAGTCTTAGTCATCCTGGTCGCACTCTCATTCTGAAGAAAGACGAAAGGGCCGTCCAAGGGCACAATGCATGTTGAAGCATTTCATGCACAAGCGCAACTATTTTCCAATTATTGGGCCTTAGATTGGATGATTATGGTTTAATGGTTTAACCTAGTGACAATGTCTTACGCCGAAAAAGAGTCTCGGGGTCATCGCAGTGGAGTTTCATGCTCTTGTACAAGTCATCTTCATATTTCAAACTAACCAACATGTCTAGCTTAGTAAAAGTCACTCGCAGTTTCTCATAAACACGTGACATGTGCCTCGCTTGACTTGATTTCCGCAGAACATCGCAGAGAAAAGCAGGCTAAGTTGAGCGCTTGCGATTTAAGTATAACAGATGGGACCTGTACATTATTGTGATACCATGCGATACCCTTCCTAGATCTAGCAGGTGTGCTACAACTATACGAATCTACAGTAGAACTATCAATGCTCTGGTACTCGATCAACATGCCAGCCTGCACAAAGAGCACATCCGCAGTGAACACTGCGCAGCTATGAGCTATTCACTTCCCTTTGGGTGTGGAGTTGACGTGGCACAGACGCTCATGCCCCTTCTTGCTCAATCCTGAGTGATCGATCAAACCATTTGGCACGCGGGCACGCCTGACGAGGACCTGTGAATCACTCTCGTCCCAATATGTCCCAACAATTGCAGTTACCTGGAGACGAGAGTTTGCTGCAGCCTTTCCGATCTTCGTTGGATTGAGACATGTTCTGGCAGCGACCAACTAAATGTGGCGGTGTATTTATGCGTCCAATGGCTTTGCATGGGATTTATGCGCGGCAACTTGCTAAAGACGCCATTGTCCATTGTTCTGGCCTTTAATCACAAGTTGTCCTGGAAGAATTCCCTGAGGGATTGGTTGCACACCAACTCGTTCCACACCCTGTTGAGTTGGATTGTGGTGACTTTTGGCCGTGCCCAAATATCTTTGGGTGGAGGCCATCGCTCTTAGGCATCGCTGCTAGGATGGAGGCCATTGCTGGTAGTTACTTAAGCTTATATGTTTGTTCTTCTTTGTTACCTTTTTATTGATAGCCTTTCTGATTGACCAAACAGCTGGGTTTCACTCAACCATAGCGCTGCATCACATTGGGCTCGGAGCTTTCAGCACACCATGTAGCAGCCACACAGCCACACAGCCACATCGTAGGTGCGAATCCTGCAGCTAGCTTTATTACCAATCTTAGACTTTTCATCATTGAGTAACTTGATCAGCGAACAGTGGTGAAGGCAAGCTGTTACCTTTGACATGGGCAGCTTTGGAACCCTGCAGACAGCGACTTTGCTTGGCAGCCATGGGGCAGGCTTGCAGTGCTCCAGACGACTCTGACCGTGAGGCAGGACATGAGGGCAATGTCAATGTGTTCTGTTGTCAACAAATACAGCCATGCCATGCTGCAGTATTAAAAGTTCAAGATAGGAGATGTGGGGAGGGCAAAGGTGAAAGGTCCACGATGGCTGACACATAAAAAGCTATTGTACAAAGCAATTCTTTTTCTGGACACCGTGTCCAGTCATACTTGTTTGAAGACTTGCTTTCTCTTGAGATCAACATGGACGCCTCGTTGGCCTTGAGGAAGTGGTTGCCATCGACACTGCTGAGGCTGTGAGGCCACTGCTCCGCGAGGACAGATCTGCACTCCTGTCTCAGATCACGGGCTGTCAGATATCAGAGGATCATTGAATCAGCAACGATGATTTACAACGTGAAATCCTTTTCCTTCCCATCAGAAGGTCACCCTTGTGTAATTGCGTCCACCCAGACTTGTGAAATGCCAAAGTCATTCTCAGGACCAATTTAGCATGTCAGTCAAGGCTTTACAGGATGCCTTCACCCAGTGTCACTCGGCTTTCAAGAGTGCTGGGGTTCATTTTTTTTAAAACATGATTTCACAAGTTACTGTGTTTGTTTTATCACGGCTGTGTGTTTTGATGGCCTCCACATGTCAGCCCATTGATGCATTTGTTAGAATCATTGCGAGGATTCTTTTTGTAAGGGAACCTTTGAGGGAATCATCACGGCCAGTGAAGTGTAATCATAATCATATGTAACCACTGTTGATCTTGCCTTTTTTTTCTCACACATGTGCAATGCAATGACTCTACGAGACTACGTGCATGGGCTTTGATTCTGCAAGGTGACACGAACAAAGACAACTTTGCCACTTTGCTTGGATAAACAATTGTGCGCTGTTGCTCTGAAGACTTTGGCTGATACTAGTAACTAGTATCCACCATCCCTGACTGTCTTGGCTAGGTCACAAAGATTGAGCTCATCAAGGCGTGCAAAAGCCACCCTGAGATTGCACATTTGCTTGGGATTCCTGAGCACCTCAGAGATAGTGCTCGGGATCAGTTTGAGCAGGTGTCCTCAGGCCGCAATTTCATGCTTCAGATTTTGTACATCAATCGTACTTGCCAAAAGAAGTCAATGCAGACTTTCATTATCGTCCCAACCCAGATTGCAGCTCACTGCTTCTGATTTGTTTGCTCAGGTTTCAAGCAATGGATAGGGACAGTGTCTTTGATGCAGAAGTGATTCTTGAAGTGATTACATTCAGATTCATGAGTAAAAGACATTTTAAACCGGCTTCTTGCAGTGCAGCACAGGGAGTCCCGGAATGGTTGGCTGCTTCATTGGTCCACCACTTCTGTACACTACCAAAGGCGATCGCAAGGTGACCTTCGATGAGCTGAAGAGCTACTTTCGGCAAGGGGGAGTCATCCTTCAAGACGACGAGCCATTGCCTCTGGTGGACTGGGCGGAGATCGCCAACAATGCCAAAACTTGCTAAATGATGGCCGTCGAAAGTTACCAGTTACCAAGACAAAGAAGTGTGATTGCCGTAATGTATAACACTCATGGGACTCTGGCATATTGTGGGTAGTGAGTTACAGTTACCGTATTCACAGCATTTGATGTTCTATTCATCAGCACACAAACATTGGGGGCTTTGGAAAGAGTCCAATAAATGATGAAGCACTGTAGCTGAGATATACTTGTCCTTTTGCCAAAGTGCCAACCATGGCAGAGGCCTGCGGGGGCACCACGTGGAGTCCCAAAAGTGGCTCACTCAACAATCGTTTGAGCCACATGGCCTTGCAAAGCTGGAAAAACATACTGAAATAGAGGCACTTGATGGCACTTGATTAGCTAATTCTGGGTCTCAAGGAAAGGCTTTGCTCGCTTCAGAGTTGGAAGGGTTTCCAAGGATTCCAAGGCCTAGAGAAGATCATTCCCGGTAAGTGTTGGTTCACCCTCGAACGAGGAAGCAATTGGACTGCCGGAAGAAAATGATGACAGCTGCTAGCGCCATTTGTCTCAGCGGCATAGACATTTCATCCTGTTTCCATCATTTGCTTATTTTGCTTCGAGTCCCAGAAGCTTATGCAAGATAATGCAACGCTGGACTGTTGCCATCCCTGAAGCCTGAAGCAGAAACAATGCAAAGCAATCTGAAGCAATTGGCATCACTTCCAGCCATCCCAGCCATCCCAGTGTGACAAGTTGGTTAAAACATCTAGTATAATATAATCTCTCTCTCTATATGTATATTAATTGGCATGTAGAATCTATTGCTTGATTGCCAGCTCCATTGCACAGCTCGCACCAAGCTTACTTGAATCCAGTGCAGATAAGGTAGGGTCATGTCGGACAGCATGTGCCCAGAGCATGAGGAATGGTCTTGCAGGCACATTTGCGCTTGAACTGTCGGAGTTAGACTGGACTGCTAGTGATTGCCACTTCACTCAAACCCCAATGTTTCGGGTCATGATGGGCTCACGCATTATTGCAAAGACGCGGCAAAACGATTCGCTTCACCATCCGACTTGGCTATTCCCTTGCTTTTGCACAGTTTTGGCATCAGGTCAACACTGGCCTGAGGAGCTATGGCCGAGGCCGGCCCGTCCTTTTTGGATGCGATCGGTCGTGGGCTTAGCGCTTCGGATCCAACCCTGCTTTGCTTGATTTGATCCAATCATATTTGACTGTGATTTCTAACAAATGCGAGAGTTGTGAGTCAGACCAGTCCTAGCGACCGTTCGATTTCGATGTATTTTCATTGAGACCATTACTGCCGCTGCTACCACTCGCCAACCACACAGATCATCACCAGCTATTCGCACATCCTGGGTCATATTTTGACTACAAGAAGCGGCCTTTACTGTATAAAAGAATCATGACACAATACGCCAATGCGTGCAAGCAACATTAACAAAGCATGGAACCACATTCATGCACGGTCAATATGCACAAGCTACGAGTAATTCTGTTGCAAGTTCGATGTCTGAGGCCAGAGCATTTTGGATTCCGCCAGCTCAATCGATGCACACATTGATGCGGGCGCATTGATCGACCGGATTTCAGGAGTCGATGCACCGTTTGCGCCATCGCAACACGAAGTTACATTCCCGCATCCGGAAGGGACTCGTAGAGGCCTTGCCAACTTGCCTCAGTTTGAGCGAATCAACCCAAATGAACTGGCAACCACAAATATGGCTGTCCATGAAGAAATGACACATCTGAAACCATAAAGTACACCTTTAAAGAAATAATAAAGACGTGTTTTCTGCACTATAAAACACAAAAGACATGAATAGTCATCACAATAGTCGTGATGAAAGCTGTGCTACTGACTGTGTGTTGTCACTCCATGTTTGGATCTGTTTTGGCACTGTTTTCACGAAAGCCAGCCGGTAGGCAGGGCTTGAGGTTGTTGGAGCGAACGCAGTGAGTAAAGGGGGTGTGGGGGGGGTGGTTGCGTGGTGGCCAATTCCGGAAAGGTGAACAACCCAGAGCCTGGTGGGGGAGAGCAAAAAAAGAGGAGGGCCACTTGGTTGTGAAAAATGAGTGGTTTGAGGGGTGTTGTGATGCCGGTGATGTAATTGACGGCGAAGAGTGCATCACGAGGGGCTCAGGAGGCCATGAAAAGAGAACAGATTGTAGTTGCGGCTAAGCTTAGCGTGCTGTCGGACTGAAGAGGTAGAGTACTCACAATAGAGTAGCTTTCCTGGCAAAGGCAGGTGACAAGTTTAGGGCGGATGCACGAACGTTCTCTCACTCGCAGGCTGACTTTGTTCCGTCGACTATATACGGATTTCAATCCGACTTGTGCTTCGTCGGGCCACTGTGCAACTGCCACCGCAGTCTTTGCTCACTGATTCGCAACACGCCCCCGGCAAGCGCGCCTCACTTCCTTAGGGGTGCCCTTTTTCACTTCCAAATCGCCCGTGAGCCGGGACGAAAAGGACACTCCCCCCAAACCTATGTCTTCTACTTTCAAATTCTACCCCCCTATCAATGTGGTTGTGATGTCAACTTCACCCCATGAAATCAATCTTTGCCCGATGTTACCCCATCACTTCCTGTTGCGCGCCAAGTCTTTGCCCCGGCCTGCCCTGAGGGCACCCCTAAGCCAAAGGCTGGCTTTCGTCCCCTCCTTTCTCCGCTGAATCTTTTTGTGCGCTTCCAGGAGATGCTACTTCCTCCAGTGCTCACCGGGCCCGGCAGTTTGCGCTCTCAGAGCTGAAAGCCTTGGCCAAGCGAGCGCCGGGCGCCGTCGTGGCCACCGAAGGCCCTCGTCCTGAAGGGCCGTGAAGAGCAGTGAAGAACAGTGAATATGTCTTCTTTGTGCCTATTAGCAATGGCCTCCAACCTAAGCTCTAGAGCGATGGCCTCCAACCCAAGAGCGATGGCCTCCAACCTAAGAGCGATGGCCTCCAACCTAAGAG